AAACAGGTAAATGGGTAAAATGTCCCCCAAAGGTCCTTTCCCATCTTCCCATCTTTTAACAGCAGCAGTTTGTCCTGAGGTTAGGTGACCACCTACAGTAAAGCCAAGGGCAAGTCAAACGGAGCACTGCAGCTCTGGAGGAAATGGCAATAGGAAATCCCATCATCTTTGCAACAGCTGGATGTAGAAATACACATCTATACCTTAAATATTAAATGTCTCTCAAGCAACTTAATCCTGGGATGCCCAACGGAACAACCATCCTCAGTCTTGAGCTTATTAGTCCTTAACTAAAACTTTGTCTCTGACCAGATCTGCGCTCAAGTCCCAATGTTTTTTCTCTGATCCTTGAAAAACCAGCAATTTGGGTCATTTTATACATCACAAAACCTTAAAAAACATCAGTTTTGTCTTTTGTCACCATGTGGCCTACTTTATAAGTTTCTCCCTGGATGATTAAGATGAGAAACAGGGCCAGAGCTAAGAGAAAAGCACAAGTTCTTCTGCAAGCAGTTAAAAAAGCAGTGTAAAAATAGCCACCCACCACCTCCAATTTACCGCACCAGCTCAACACTAACCTTTTTTATTGGTCGTGAAGTATTTGGAGTCCGTCATGGTTCCAGTTCCTTAGAACACCTGGGAGTAACAATAAGAAAAGAACAAGGAGTCAAAGAGCATTCGGAGCTGACAACACCCAGTTTGTGAGGCAGGAACTCGGAGGAAGGAGGGTTGGGGAGCGCGTAACGGAAGGGAAGCAGCAAATGCTTGAACATCCGCAGGCAGGAGTTTCACAATCTTCATTCTGCACCTGCTGCTGCTATTACTTGGCAAACCCAGGGATTTAGAGGGCTCAGAAGAACAATGTGAGTGAAAACACAACAGCCCGAGGGCGGACAGGCTGGGAAAGCAGTGGTGCTCAGCCCAGCTTTTTAAACTCGAAGTCACAGAAGGGAAAAGGCGGTTTTTTAACTCCTTATAATCAGCAGAGCTGGACGTGTTCTGCAGCTGTCTTTCCCCTGGGTACACAATTTCATTTTTGAAAAAAAAAAAAAAAGCACTGCACATTTAATATCTCCACTGGAAGCGAGAAGTCCCTGTTTCAGACAAAGGAAACTCAACTCCCCCTAACGATACTTTCCCGTGTTGCATCTTGATGGCAGCAGCAATTAACCCGATTTGCAATATCCACCCCGAGGCCCTTTCATTTCTTTCCCTTCTTTTGTTCCCGGGAGATGCAAAGCAGTTTTGTGAAAAGAAAAGCCATGACTTTTCAGTTCTCTCAAGCTTGAAATTGAAATCTTTCTCTGCCAAGATCTGACATCCCACCTCTGACACACACACACGAGCTTATTATTTCAGTGTTACACTGCATTTTTATGGACAGGACCGAAAAATGCTGCTGGGCCAGCAAGTGCTGAAGAGAGTTAAGGGAATGGTCTCACCAGCACTTTTCTTGCTCTGCAGAACCAAATTATTAATACCTCAGAATACAGGGATTGCCCAAACATACGTGGATATCCATCATTTCATTCTTAAATTGCCAGCTCTGTGACAAACGTGACTCAAACAGTTTTCAATTACTGGCTGAAAAACAAGCATGAAAGTCGGCAGTCTGGTTTTGAAAAAACAATCTGCATCAGCACTAAGAACCTATGACCCTAAAACCACCCCCAAAAAGGGTTTTCCTACCTCTTTCGTCCTTTTTCTATTCCCCTCCCAGTTCCCCTTCTCTTGTACATAACCTTAAATCTACCAGCAAAGCAGCAAGTCATCTGCTCCCTCAACGCTGCCTGAATTGCCTCTAAACCTCGAAGGTCTTGCTGGCTCAGCAACAAAAGGACAAGCTTAGCTCTGAACTCCAAGACACTGCCCAGCAGAGCAACCAGCTCGCTGTTGCTTAACGCTTTCCTTCCTCATCCCTTAACCAACCCCACACCATTCTTCCCCCACCACCACCATCCACCTCGATGGATTTAATACCTCACTAGTTAAGTTCCCAGCAGCAGCAGCTGAGGGGTAATGCCCCAATTTCTACCACCTTCAACGTGCTCTACACGTGCAGAGCAGTTGTAATCTTGCCCAACTGCCAAGCAACCAGATGAGAAACAACCTGTTGCTTTGCCCAGTTCCCCAGAGCTCCAGCCCTGGCCTGTGCCTTATCCCAATTAGGCAGACTGGTTTTGGTTTGATTCCTCTCCCTTTCTGCTCTTGCCAAGCTGGAGACCAAACTATGCCCAAGGACAGCTCTGGAAGCACATTGCTCCTCCTGAAGGAGAGGTTTGCCCTCCTTCCAAAACAGAGGCTGGGTCGGGAAAGCCCACATGAGCCACAACATTGCAATCTTTCCAGCAAGAAAACCATGGCACCACAAAAGTAAAAAAAAAAAAAAAAAAAGCTGTCGTGGGTCTCATTTTATAATTAAAAACACAGCCCGTGGTCAGCTGCAATGCTATCGCTGACATAGTCCTTCAGATTTCAGCCCAGCTTAGGAGATGATTTAAATGTTTTCCTCTACGAGAGTACTTGGCACAATGCCACGCCAAAGGCATTGAACACAGCCTTGCTGTTCTTTGTTTGCATTATTTGTGGATTTGTCAGCATGGGTCACACCTCCCAGCTGAGCTGGTCCAATATTGTTTTAACAGCCAATAATCTGGCCAGAACAGCAGATTCTAGAGAAAATCCAGAAGAAAAAAAAAACCCAAACCACCACACCATACACATGATCCCAGTTGTATAAACCTACATACACAGAGGGAGAAACCTTGCTGAATTTCAGAGATGATCTTTAAACCCCAAAGCAGGACATTTCACCTTTTTTCTAACTTCAGATCACATACTTGGAAACATGAAGAATCCTAGAAACACTCAGACAAGGTTATGCACAGCATATGTCTGTGCAACCTGTTTTGACAGATGTAGATAAGATCTGACTTCGGTCAAAAACCAAACTACCACATTCCAAGTGCGACACACAGGAGAAAGCTCTTTTTCTCATCAGCTCGCAGATTTTTTGCTTCATGAATGTCAGAGCTTGCTTTGCACGTTGTTCAGAGACAGCTTGCAAGCAGAGCTGAGCATTATCTCATCCACCAAGCAAACTCAGCATGGTTTACAGCAAGTCCCAGATGAAGGCCAAAACCAAAACAGCCCAGATATACAAATAGCAATGTTTTAAATAACTCAAGAAAATGCCAGCTTCTTGTACATAAATCAAAATTGAAGAGAGGCAAGATAAATTATGACGACATCATGAACATCCTTGTATTTTTAGAAGAAAATCTACATCAGATTGCTCCCTCCTTACTGTCGTTCTGTGTCCAGCACCTGCTAAGGTGGGAAAAGGGAAGAGGTGTTCGAGCTGACTGCAAAAGGCTCCTCTTCCAACCCCAGCAAACAAGAAGAGATGAAATAGGGGAATTTCTCCAGAAGTTCTGGCAGTGCTTAATGCTGTAAGTATTGGGTTGTCATTTAAATGTAGACTGAACCCAAACCATGATTAAATGAAAAGGCTAAGGAACCATCATAACCAGAAAGATAAGCCTCCTAAACCCAAAACTACACAGAAAACTGCACCCTACGTTTGACCAACACCTGCCCTGCCCAACATCTGACTCCAACAACAGCCTGACCAGCTCCTCACACTGATTTCCCATAGGTGTAAACAAGAAGGTGTCAGGTTTAAGGCCTCAGAACTGATCCAAGCTCCCCAGCATTGAAAGAATCCAGCACCAAACCCCTAAATCTCTAAGGTGATCACCAGTTTAACCCAGCTCTACACTCCAGCTGGTGCCACCACCTCTTATATGTAACCATTTCACCTGCAAAGCCAGTGAGTAGCCACACCATAGCCCAAAGGTGGCTCAGGGCCGATGGAGCATCAGAAAACTAAACAGAGCGACTGAACATGGATGGCAAAGGGAAAGCAGCGCCTCAGCTTCAGAAACCCAGAGCCCTAACAGCGCGTGCGAGGGGCAGGTAATTTGTTTCCATCCTGGGGAGCAAACACCCCTTTGGTGCTCCCCACCTCACCCTCAAATGCCTCGCAGTTCCTACCACCAGCCTTGCCCCCTCCCCAGTGTCCCCCAGCACCCTCCAGTTGCTGGAGTATCCCCCATCAATCCCAGCTCCCCTTCCCAGCATTCTCAGCTGCAGCAATGCACCGGCCCTCACCCCTGCCCAGTCCCACCAGTATCCCAGTAGCTCGCTCTGCTCATCCCCATCCCAGCCCAGTTCTACCAGTATCCCAGGACCTCACTCTGCTCATATCCCAGGACCTCACTCTGCTCATTCCCATCCCATCCCCACCCAGTTCCACCACTATCCCAGTACCTCGCTCTGCTCATTCCCATCCCACCCCCAGCACCCCCATCCAGTTCCACCAGTATCCCAGTACCTCGCTCTGCTCATTCCCATCCTCCCCCCATCCCCTGCCCTCCCACCGCACCCCCACCAGTGTCCCCCTCCCGGGGTCCCCCCTTGCCCACCGCCCCCACGGCCCAGTCCCCACTCCCAGTACCCCTCCACTATCCTCACTACCAGTGTCCCCAGTACTGCCATCCCTGATACCAGTGTTCCCAGTACTGTTGTCCCCACTACCAGTGTCCCCACTACCAGTGTCCCCAGTGCCGCAGTCCCCGATACCAGTGTCCCCAGTACTGCCATCCCCAATACCAGTGTTCCCAGTACTGCTGTCCCCAGCGCTGGTGTCCCCTCCTGGGCCAGCAGCGCAGAGCAGCAGGTCGCTGGCACAGCCAGGACACACAGCCTGTCACCACACCGTGTCCCCCTGCTGTCCCCAGGTCCCCGCGCCCCCGCTGCCCGCCTTCCCCACTGCCGAGGAGGAGGAGGATGGCGCCGAGGCCGAGCCGGACACACGGGCCATGGTGCAGGCCCAGAACCAGAAGAAGAAGAAAACCGGGGGGCTTCCCGCCCCAGGGGGGGGGGGGGGGGGGGGGTGGAGACAGAGAGGCCGCGCTTCCGGGGGTGTGTGGGACGGTCGGTGGTGCTCCGCGGCGGTACCCGACGGAGGCGGTACGGGGCGGAGCGCCCCCCGGCGGCGGGGCGAGGGGCAGCGCAGCCGGCGCCATGGCGGAGCTCGGCGCCCACCTCACGGCCGCTTCGGCCGGCGACGACCGGCCCTCCATCTTCGAGGCGGTGGCCCAGGATAGCCTGATGGCCGCCCTGAAACCCGCCCTGCAGCACCTGGTCAAGGTAAGGGCGAGGGGAGGAGAGGGAAGGCCTGCCGGCCGCCTCCTCTTCCTCCTCCCTGCAGGCCTCAGCGCTGTGGGGAGCCGGACGCTGAGGTAAACTGTGCTGAGGGTGAATATTCTGTGAGGAAAGTGCTGCAGAAAGGGACCCTGGAGAGACTGCACAGCTCTGTGGCGAGGAAGAGTTTCTCTCTCACAAGCCAGCGTAAGCGTTTTGAGCCACTGGGCTCACTCTTGGAACGGGAGGCAGGAATTATAGCTGCTGTAACTGAGCACATTGCTCTGCTTTCAGTTCCTTCGGGTTTGTCTCCCTTTCAATAGGTGCTGGCAGAGTCTAACCCTGGCCGATACGGCTTCCTTTGGCGCTGGTTTGATGAGATCTACGTCCTGCTGGATTTGCTGCTCCAGCAGCACTACCTGGCCAGCTGCAGCGCCTCCTTTTCTGAAAACTTCTACAGCTTAAAGAGGATACCGACAGGAGATCACGGGCAGCAACCCCTGGCCACGGCTGGCCTGCCAAAGCGGCAGCACTGGAAGTCTCTCCTCTTGCTGGTTCTTGTTCCTTACCTGAAAGGAAAGCTAGAGAAACTGGTGTCCAGCCTGAGGGAAGAGGACGAGTACTCCATCCACCCGCCATCGTCATCCTGGAAGCGCTTTTACAGAGCCTTTCTAGCTGCCTACCCCTTTGTAAACATGACCTGGGAGGGCTGGTTTCTTATCCAGCAACTGTGCTATATCCTCGGGAAAGCTCAGCATCATTCACCCCTGCTGAGGCTGGCTGGCGTTCGCCTGGTCAGACTGACTCCAGAGGATATCCAGGCCCTGGAGAAGAAATTGGCTGGAGCCACCTCAAGTCCAACACGCAGGTATGTCAGAACATGGCTCAGCAGCTGCTTTCTAGAAGGTTCTGTGGATGTGTTAATCTGCTGGTGATGCTGCAAGTAAAACTGTCTCATTCTCCAGAGTTTCCTCAGGATGAAGTTTACCTTTGGCAAAATGTGCTCCAAAAGGGTATATCATTAGTGTAAATAAGGAAACAAGTAGCAGGGATTAGCTTCACAGGATTTTGTGGTAATAAAATTGCAAAGTTGGAGGGAGGTTGGCACGCCGGCCTTTATCCTGTTCAATTTTCACCGGCGCTTTTCTAACAAGGGAATTAGACTGCAACAATATTGCTAAAAGGACTGAAACTTAGCTCTTTGATCTTTCTGAGCAGCAGCTTGTCATGACCACGTTTAATGTCCTGTAAAATGATGATCCGTGAGTGAAACGCTCTGTGATCCAGGTCCCCTCAGTCCAAACTCTTCCAATTTAAACTTCTGAACAAAACAGAACTTGAAGCTTCCTTAAAATACAGAGAATCTGGGACAAACATCCTGGTAGATGACCATTACAAACATGGCATACGTTGACCAACCTCCTTAACATTAAGAAGCTGCATAAAGCAGTGATTTACTCCCCAAGTCCTTTTTACCTTGGTTTGTAGATGGATAAATGCACAGTAATAATGATTTCTCCATATCTTCTCTCTTTTACAGCATTAAAACCCAAGTGCAGTCAGCGGTGAGGAAAGCGTTGGGTGGTATTGCCTTCTCCCTGTCCACCGGGCTGTCCGTCAGCATGTTCTTCCTCCAGTTCCTGGACTGGTGGTACTCCTCAGAAAACCAGGAGACGATCAAATCTCTGACAGCCCTCCCAACTCCTCCACCCCCCGTGCACCTCGACCACGGGGCCGGCTCAGCTCTTTTACCCAAACTGAAGACCGTCTGCCCTCTGTGCCGCAAAATTCGCGTCAACGCCACGGCTCTGGCCACCTCCGGCTTTGTGTTCTGCTACCGCTGCGCGTACAGTTACGTGAAGGCTCACCAGCGCTGCCCCGTCACGGGCTACGCCACAGAACTGCAGCACCTTGTCAAACTCTACTCTCCCGAGAGCTGAAAGGCTGGCCCCGTGGCTTTCAGACGTACAGCTCTGCGGCTGGGTAGCAGGGAGCCTCAATTCACCCCTTACATCCCATAGAAGACTTTCGACCGCCGCAGCTCATCGGTGAGCTCTAAAGCTCCTTTGAACTTGGCAGTCCATCAGAGTTTTGCTGCCTTGGCAAATCCTGGTAAGGCTCTCCCCTCGGTTTGTCAGCTGTTCCAAACACCCTGTGACGGTTTCAGAGGGATCGGACAGCCACAGGCTGTCAGCCAGCACAGAAATGCCTTCAGAGACCAACTTTTGGATAAAAAAAAGAATGCAGATGTAAGGATCAAAGAGCATCACTGCTAAAAGTGCTGCTCGAGGGCATGAGCCAGCAAATTAAAGGGGTAGGGAATAGTCTCTACGCGAGTTATTCCTCCTTTAGCAGCTTCCCAGGCACTGGTGCTGCCCAGGGCGAGCTCCGGCACTAGGGCTTGGCAAAGAGGCAGGCTCTGATTGTGTTATTCTTAGGAGTTTCCCTTCATTTTCAGGCTACTCGCCTTTGAATTGAGAACATCACACCCCTAATTCCCATCAACAGTTCTAAATTAAGGCTTTTGACTCTTTAAAGGAACAAGAGGTGGTGTGTACAAGCAAGGATACGAGAGGGAGATCACATTTTCTGCACAAGGGAGAAAAATAAGAAACCAGATTAAAGCAGCAACTATGCCAAATGATGAGAGCTGGTTTTTGTTAAAAAAAAAGTCTTTGAACCTGTTATTATCTGCTTTTATAAAGCAAAATTCTTTTCTTGATTGAGAGCCTAATTTATTTCTTCTCTGGGTATTGAAAAAATGGAGTTTGCTTTTCTAGGGGCTCTGTTTACACAAAGGAGACTAGACTAAAGCTGCTTTCATCTTTGCAGGTGATGATAATGGGTATAAGATTAGCATTTTCTAGGTGAGGAATCTTTAACATTTACGTTTAAGTATTACATTGCCATTATTCCAGTCCCAACCATGTAGCACATTCATAACGTAACAAAGCATCCTTTCACTGAAAGGAGGGGAGAAGAGAACGTGTGTGACATTATGGCTGGTTCTTCCTCCACACCTGATTTTTCATGGTAGAAGGTTTTTTCCTGACTGGGCTGCAGGGAGCAGCAGTTTGTTACTCCAGACATCCCAGGGAATGTTTAGAGAATACGAAGAGCAAAGTTCGCTGCATAAAGTGCAAGATCTTTCCAGATTAAGAGATATATGTTCTAACGTTTAATCCACTGAACTGGTCAACTCATTTTCCCTCAACTTTAGCTCTGCTTCAGAAGATAAAAATCTCTAATATCCTCCCTCAAGATAACAAGGTTATTGAATAATGTGGGAAAAGACAGTAATTTGCATTCTCCCAGAGATGCTCTGGAAAAACACTTACTGTAACAAATGAGATTTGTCCCCAGTGCTTGTCTTACTATCTTTCTTCCAGACCCTTCTACCTCTGCCACTATGGAATAATAATAAAAACTGTCTCATTTCTCCTTTTTACAGTAGTTATGGGTTCCATAAAGACACTTCTCTTCCTTTAGAAAGCACACACCTTGCTGGAAAAGAAATCACATCAAGCTGCAAGATTTTTCTGAGATTTCAAATCACTTTCAACACAGCTGGCTTCAGGCTGGGTATTAATTCACATCACTTGCTACATCAGTTTTGCTTCATGCACAGAGATCATCATCTCTGTGAAAAGCCAGAATCCCAGATGCTCCCCTGCTGCTGCTGCCCAGTCTTAAAATAATGTCTGATTAGACAGACCTGGGCCCAATTGTCCCGTTGACTCCAGTGCAACCAGTCATTTAAATAAAGGCTGAGGGATTTGACTGACAGTTATTTCAGCATAGGTTTGGTTTCCATCTATCCTTCCTGTACTTTCCATCTGCTGCTCAGCAAGAAGCTTGGGCAGAGCTGGGACAGAAGAGCGACCGATGCCAACTCACCCTCCAGCACTGCAGAGCCCTCGGACGAGTTCCCCACCTTCCTCCCCTCTAATCCAGGATTCACTCACTCCTGAACAGCAGAACCAAGTTGCCTGCAGGGACTCTGCTCTGGGGGCTCTACACCTCCATCTTCTAGGGTTAATCTCTCTTCCTCTCTCCAGAACAGCCACCAGATGCCCACCTGCCAGGCCCTGGCTGCCTTCCACTCCAGCTCTCCCCACACCGCGCTGCACAACACCCTCTCCCTGCCAAACTCAGATTTGGCCAACTCCAAGACCCGCACTGAACCACCCACATCTAAGCCCCACAATTCTGAACAGCTGTAATTACTCTTGAATGTTAGATTGCTCTTTAATGCCTAGCTGGCTAACAGGCATTAAGCCCACAACGGTGACAGGCTCAGCAATTACCTGCCAGACTGTGTTAATGTTCCTGCAGATGGCTGCAGGAGACCGACTTGGATTTGACAGCTTCTTCTAACCCTCCTGACCTTAGTAACCAAATAAATATCCATTTATTGGGTTTGCTGCTCTAAAACAAAGTTACAAAACCAATTCACATGATACAAACATTCCCATTTATCTGCTTTTTGACTGTAATAGTGTTATTAAACCCATGACAGTCTAAAGATAAACAAGAAAAGATTTTTTTCAAGGAACACCAACTTTATTAAACCAACCTTTGGACTTCCATGACTGTAGAGAAGTCACAAGTTCGTATGTATCATACATGCATTCAGGATGCTTTGTTGTGTTGCTTAAAACAATTACAACAGCAGCAGCACTGGAGTTGCCCAATACATTACTGCCAGAACTTGACTTTGCAAGTCTTTTAAAAAATGTTTAGTGACCCTCAGCCACATGCACAACTCATCTTGACACTCTGAAAAAATTAATGCATTAACAACTGAGTTACTTTCCCTCCTTTCTTAACAGAAACCATGTGGCTTCTCCTGTTCAAAGAAAACCACCAGAACTATACTCCCCATAGAAGCTTCCTTCCTCCACAGGAATGGAGAAATGAACATAAAGGTGTCACCAAGACCTGGAAGAGAATAAAAACTAGATTAGAGAATAGCTCCATGTCTTCTCCTGTACTTGCATGATTAGCCCAGCCTTTCCCTGCCCCCGTGAAAGGGCTGCACTTCATCCAGAGCTGGGCACCACAGCCAGGCCCCACACCACAACTCACTTCCAAAAATATTCCTGCCTCTGTGCTGGCAATTACTAGATGAGAAGCCAGCTGAACCAACTGCTGATAGGGTGTCTACAGGAGAAACAGCTCAGACTCCACCTTAGAGAGTCTGCATTACATTTACAGAGAAGATACAGCAGCAAATTATCTGGAGTTTCATATGCCACGTCACATATAGGAGAAAAAAAAACAAGAAACCCCTCTCATTGCAAGCTCAGAACTACACTCAGCACTGCAGCAAGATACACAAATCCAATCAAGTATTCACACTACTTGTTTTTCCAATCAACACTATTCTGCTCCTAAAAAAAAAAAAAATGCTAAAAATTCTTAACATTTTTTCAGTATTTTTTAGGGTGCATCAAAAGGAAGCCAAGCTGTTTACTCTAGATGAGCTTAGCCTAAATAAGCTCAGAGAGAAGATTACGTGATCATGCCCTGGTCAGAGCAAAGACACAAAGTCTCAGCAATACCAGTTCAGAGTCTACTTCGCTCATCATTGCTCTGGGCAAATCTATTTCCATTCAGTAAGGAGCTTGCCCCCAGGTCAGGAATTGGAACAGAAAAGGGTTTTTCTTCTAGAAGAAAAAACAAACACACACCTCCTCACCCCAAATTAACAGAGATTTAAATTGGGCTCTGGATAAATACTTTTCGGGATCACATGGCTTTCTACAGGACAGTTTGCAGTAAGTTAACACTGACCTGGGGAAGATAAAACAGGGATGGCTGTTACAAGCCTGAAAAAGCAGTGGCCTTTTCTACCTTCTTGAACCCACCTCTGTCAGAGAGCACCAGGGAGGAGAAGGTGGTACTTCACACCATCAGCACAGATGTGGTCTCCACACAGAGCTCAGGTGTTCACCTGTGTGCAGGAGAAAGCCACACAAGTTGAGTAACACAGACAAAAACTTACCACATCCTCTTCCAAAACATTATTTGCTAAGCCAGCAAAACCTCTCTTTTTCCTCCTGACACACCCATAGACACACTGCCACCCCACAAGGCAGAAGAGACTCCAAACAGGCGTTAATTAAAGCTTTGGCTGATCTGCAAGCATGCAACAGAAAAAAACCAAGTTGGTTTTAAGTTTAATGCTCATCCATGAATTAAGAGTGTGGGTTTTTTCACCTTATAACCTTCTACTGTTACAGATAAGGGGATGAGGCGTGTTTAGCAGGGGAGGGAGGGGGCTGACACATCTGATAGACCCAAGCTGGAGCTAGGGAAGATAGATCATGAGTTGGGATTCCAAGGTCAAGGAGAGCCAGTACGAGGCAAAAAGAAGAGGGGAAAAAACTGTCATACCTGTAAATACTGCTGAAGTCAGTGGCTCTCGAAGGGTCCAGAGGCCTATTTCGATCTAACCCTTCCCTCACGCCACCCGTTTGCACCCCGTTTCCCATCTCCTTCCCTGCATGGACCCCTCCACACACACACACAGACACAGACGTCTTGCAGCCCTTCAGCCCCTAGTTCCTCCGCCCCTGTCCACCCACATCCCCCCAGTTCCCTACCCCGCTCTGAACCCTGCATCCCCCAGATAACCCAACCCCCAGATATTCCACCTCCGTCCTGCTCATCACCCCTTCAGCCCCAAATGCCCCATCTCGGTCGGGTTCGTCCCCCTCAGCCAGCCCCGCCAGCCCCTGAGCTTCTCTAGCGCCACCGCCCCACACCCCGACCCCTCAGCTTCCC